GCGCAGGCAGCAGCCGGCCCACCCCATTCTTCCTGCTCGAGGGGCTGGAGAACCCCATTTTAGCGCAGGCAGAAGAGTCTTCGGTGAAGAGGGAGCTGTGGTCTGCAGCATCCTTCCAGCTCCCCACTCCAGCGTGCACCAGGCGCCAGGAGGGATGGGCAGGGCTCAGCCTGGCAGGGACTCATCCTGCCCGCTCAGCAACGGCCGTTCAACAAGGGATGCTTGAAAGGCAGAGGGTGAAGAGGCAGCCACACGCGGTGCATGTTTCTGGCTCTTCAGGTGGGATAGTTAATTCCCCCTGATGAGTTATCTCATCCTGCTGCTGCTCAGGGGAACGAGAGCTCCTGGCATGCTCGGGGCCGGACTTCGCTCCGAGCTCTTCCGCAGGGCGACGCGGGAGCAGGGCCACCGCCGGGACAAAGCAGCGCGAGCTCTTCGGGGACTGGTGAGCGGTTGGAGCCAGCAGCCGTCAACCAGCAACGGCTCGGGAAAAGGCCGGACGCAGCCACAGGAAAAGGCTGGATGCAGCCATGAGCCCGTGTGGAAACGTGTCCTGCTGCACAGCGGTCAGGCAGCACCTCACTGGCGACGCGGGCGACCACCCCTGGCCTTTTCAGAGGAAAACACCAATATTCTCCTTTCTTGGGTTTTTTTTCAGAGAAAACCTCGAGGTATTGGAGAGGATGTATTGGAATAAAGCTCCATTTAGGACATACATTTAGGAAAAAATGACATTTCCCTCTTGCAGAGATCCCAAAAAAATTCGTTTTTATTTGCCTGGACTATTTGCACCCATCAAAACGAACGCCCTACACCATTCCCAAGGACCAGCGGGACGCAGGAGACCTGCGAGCCCCCGGTGGGCTGCGCGTGCAGTCTCAGCGCGGACGCCTTCCGCCCGCCCGTCGAGAAGAGCGTGGAAACGGAGCCTCCATCGGGGCTGACTCCACTCGAACGCCTCGGCCCTTCACCGCGGACCAGCTTCAACATGCGACAGCGCGTTTCTAATCTTCTACGGAACAAAGATGATCAAAACCCAGAGCGACTTGACTCAGAGAAAGCAGCCCAGCGCGGAAGGGGGGGGACAGGGTGACCCGCAGCCCGGCGTCATCCAACGGCCCTCCCAAGAGGAGCAGAAAATCCAGTGGCGAAAGGAAACTGGGACCTGCGAGGAGCCACCCATCTTTTGTGCTTCGAAAACCATCGACGTGAAGTTGGAGGGGAGGAAGAGATATAAAATGATAGGAAATCAATACCGAACCAGATCCGAAAAAAAAATCCTATGTACAAAAAAAGTCTCGAGGATGAACGTGTGTCCAGTTCCAAACGCCGCTGCGCAAACGGCTCTGAAGTCTTCTCTCGGGGAGCGGCGCGCTGCCCTACCCGAGCCCCACGTCCAGGGACATCATCACCACAAAGCCGAAGATCGAGGTCCAGGAAGCCAGCTTCCCGTTGCCGCTGCAGGGGGAAAAGGGGAGGGCATGAGATCCGTGGAGCCGGTTCCTTACCAGCAAGGTAGGAAGTTCCATCTGACCACGAGGAAGAACTTCTTCCCTCTGAGGGTGACGGAGCCCTGGCCCAGGCTGCCCAGGGAGGCTGTGGAGTCTCCTTCTCTGGAGATATTCCAGCCCCGCCTGGCCGTCTCCTTCGCGGGAGATATGCCAGCCCCGCCTGGACGCGGTGCTGTGCAGCCTGCTGTGGGTGACCCTGCTTGGGCAGGGGGTTGGGCTGGGTGACCCACAGAGGTCCCTGCCAACCCCGACCATGCTGGGATTCTGTGATCTTCCCCAGCCCGCCGTGCTCCTCCCTGCGTCTGTCTGCCCTCGGTGGTGGCCACCGAGCGGGTCTCACCTGGTCTGCGCCTCGGGGATGATATCGTCCATCACCACATAGACCATTGCTCCGGCCGCAAAGCCCAAGGCGTAGGGGAGGAGAGGCTCTGCCACCACCACGGCGAAGGCACCGAAGACGCCGGCTAAGGGCTCCACCATGCCGCTCAGCTGCCCGTACCTGCAAAAGGCCCAGGCTAAAAACCAGCGGGGACCCGGCCCGAGGGCTGCCAGGCTCTGCAGCTCCCCGGCCCCATCCTCTTCCCTGATGCCACCATGCCCAGGAAGACATCAGCCGCCCGGCCACGCCAAGCCACCCGGATTATTTCAAACAGATGATGAAGGTGGTGTGACCTAACCCAGCTGATTTTTTTCCAGGAAGGGCATTCAGGCGCGATCCGATTCCTTCCCCCAACAGCTCTGCGGGATTTGAGGATCAGGCTCGTGGGCAGGGATGGGTCAGGGAGGAAACATTTCCACCCAGCACAGCTCAATCCCAAAGAGCCCACAGCCTCAGCTAGGATGAAACTGTCCTCTTCCCCCTCGTTTTCTTTCCCTGTAGGAGTGTTTTAACTCTCCGGACCATGGGAACTCCCTTCCCGGCAGCAGCACTCCCAGTGCAAGTCCCAGCACCGGCTGCGCGTACTGAATTGGAGGTGGGTGGGAGGAAAAGAAAACAAAGCTTTGGTGGGAGCCGTTCCCAAGCCGCCGCTCTGCCCTCCCATCCGTCACCCAGCCCAGCACACGTGCACGTGCAGGAACGCGGCCCTGCGCTCGCAGGGTTCATGCCCTTGGCTTTTTCACCTCGGGGAAAAGAAAAAATCAAAAGGGGGTTTGAAATCCAGCCTGGAGTGAAGAGAGAGAAAAAATGAAACAAAATAAAAATAAAAAAAGAAAAACCACTATTTAGTGCAGGGTCTGGGAGCTCACCAAAGGCGCTCAGCTGAAGCGGGACGGGGTGACCCACCGGGATCACTGAGGAATCCCCCGGGAGTCAGGGGTCGGAGCTGAGCTCAGGGGTGCGGAGGGAGCAGGGCTGAGCCCACCGCCCTTCCTCAAAGCTGGAAACCAGCAGCAGCTCTCCGTGATGCGGAGGGGACTCAGCGGGTCTGGAGCAAGCCCGTCCCAAGGGCAGCTCAACGCCGGAGCAGCGCAGACGGACACGGGCTGGAAATCCGTAGGCGCCCGCTCGTCAGGGGCTGCTGGCGGAGGGCTCTCGATGCGACGCACGAAGAGGAGCTCGGCTTACCAGAACGCTTTCCACGTGGAAAATCCAGCGCCGCGCAAAGGCAGGCTGACGGCCAGGCCCTCCGGGAAATTCTGAATCCCGATCCCGATCGCTAGGTTCCTACCCACATTAAAAAAAGCACAAAAATAATAATACATATATGTGTTTATCTCAGGTGGAAGCACAGCCTAGGGTTGGCTGCTGGGAGCTCAGGAAAAAAAAAAGATATTATTAAAGATACGCCTTCTGAATGGAAGCGCAGCTAGCCCTGGGGCTAGGCACGCTAATATTTAACAAACTTCATCTTCCAAGAGCTCCACGGCATTTAATCTGCTTCAGCACCAGCCCTGGGCTCCACAGAGACCAGCCAGAGGAGCAGGCACCCGTCCGGGGAGCCCCTTGAGGTATTCCCAACCCTGGGAACTGGGATTCAGGATTCCAGGCTTCCCGGGAGCTGCAGCATCCCGGGAATGGGGCAGCCCCGGGCTCGCAGGTCCCCGGAGCGTTGGGGTCCTTCCCACCCAGGGGGGCTTTGCGAGAGGGGCCCCGAGGCAGCCCCCGAGAGCCCCCTGAGAGGCTCGAAGGGATGTTCAAGGGCAGAGAATTAGCCGAGGTTTCTCCTTGCCAGCCCTCTCCCCAGCGATGCTCAGACCCAGCGTCCCCTTCAGCACCCACCCCACACCCGCTGCGCTCCCGCCCGAGCAGCAACCCCACGGCGAGACCACCGCATCATCCGGAGCTTATCCGACATGGCAACAGCTCCGCGAACAGCCGGTGGCTTTGCAGCAGGAGGGTTTCCCAGATCTTCGATGTGGGAGGCATGAACCCCACCTCTGGGCACCAGCACCCCAGCGAGCAGAGGCTGCTCCCGGGACCCCCCATCCACAGCCAGGATTCGCTCCAGCCTCGGGAACCACCCAGGGTCCCTTCCAGCAGGAGTTTGGGGATTTTTTCGTGAAAACCGGGAAATGGTTGATGACCTTTGGGTTGGAAGATGACCTCTGAAGGTCCCTTCCAACCCAAAGCACTCTATGAAATTAGGATATGGGGCTTTTCGTCACTCAAGGAACGAAAATGCTGCAAGCACCCACCCAAATCACAGAATCCCAGCATGGCAGGGTTGGCAGGGTCCTCTGTGGGTCACCCAGCCCAACCCCCTGCCCAAGCAGGGTCACCCACAGCAGGCTGCACAGCACCGCGTCCAGGCGGGGCTGGAATATCTCCAGAGAAGGAGACTCCACAGCCTCCCTGGGCAGCCTGGGCCAGGGCTCCGTCACCCTCAGAGGGAAGAAGTTCTTCCTCGGGTTCAGCTGGAACTTCCCAGGCTTCAGTTTGTGCCCGTTGCCCCTTGTCCTGTCACTGGGCACCACTGGAAAGAGTCTGGCCCCGTCCTCCTGACCCCCACCCTGCAGATATTTAGAGGCATTTCTAAGGTCCCCTC